CGGCACAGCTCAGTTCCTGGAGAGATTCCCCAACGTTTTTGGCTGCTGCCTATAATCTTGTGATGATGATGATGATCAAAAACTATGTGACCAAGATTGCCGGTTTGAAACCAAAATAGTTACTGGCACTGATTCAGCGGAAAGACAAAATTACAGGGGAAATGAACCCCTGTACTGTACTTCTATTTGCACGTAAACACAGTAAAACCATTTTTGGGGGGGGAAATGTACTGAAAAGTACTGAGATCGGCAGATTTTTTTTTTAAAACCTAGAGAATGGACTCATTCACTGAAAAAAAACAGGGTCTTTTTTCACTGGGGTATTTCAGCACCTTGAAGAGACATAATCTCAGTAGGGGGGGGCAATTTATAATAAAGCTGAAAAACTAGTTCTGGAAAACATTCTAGATTGCATGAGAAATGTCTTAAGGCCAATCAGCTAGTTGCGTATCTGTTTGGATGCTTTATTCTTTAATAATAATAAGCCCTTTATTATCAAAGTATAACATGTATACAGTGAAATTGCCTGAGCCTCCCTCTGTGCCCCCCTCCTCACCACAAACTCACGGTGACTACAAACCCCCAACTTCATTGATCAGATTTTCACGCCTATTTCCTTCTGATCAGAGCTGCTTGTAACATCCAAGATACCAATACAGCATGGACAGAATAAATCATAAACCATCTACCCCAGTGGTTCTCAACCTTTTTAATGCCGCGACCCCAACTGGTCGTAAATCGAGGATTAAACCGGTCGTAAGTCGAGGACTAAACTGGTTGTAAGTCAAGGACTAAACCGGTTGTAAGTCGAGGACTACCCAACCGGTCGTAAGTCGAGGACTTTCCCTGCCCGGGAGCGCCGCGCATGTGTGGTTCCGCCCCCTGCGCCGGCCGAGGCGTAGCTGGCAAGCAGCAGAGACGGTTGGCACCAGCTGGCCCAGCCCAAGGGAGGTAAGGCACCCGCCGGAAAAGGGGAAAAAAATGGCGGACAAAAAAAATGGCGGACAGCCTTGCTTGGCGACCCCCGTGAAATGGTCGATCAACCCTAAATGGGGTCCCGACCCACAGGTTGAGAACCACTGATCTACCCTAATATAAAATATTGGAATATTTTATATAGCCTTGCTTACATGTCCATGCTTTAAAACAGAAATAGATGGGGGAACAAAAGAGGACTTTCCACCTTCCAGTGGTGTCACTTGCACTCTTCCGATTGAGCAAGGGAAGAAATTGTAGTCCCTGATTGAGTCTTTCTATTCTATACAAATTCCAGGAGTCTTATTGAAGGGAGCAGAATTTACTACCAGCTAAAAACACATCCAATTAAATTGCAAGAATCTTGCAAAGGATTGGAAAAGAAACAGAATAATAGAATAACAGAGTTGGAAGGGACTCTGGAGGTCATCTAGTCCAACCCCCTGCTCAAGCAAGAAACCCTATACCATTTTAGACCAATGGCACTCCAATCTCTTCTTTAAAACTTCCAGTGTTGTAGTGCCCACAATTTCTGGAGGCAAGCCGCTCCATCACTGGAAGTTTTTAAGAAGAGACTGGACAGCCACTGGTCTGAAATGGTGTAGAGCAGTGGTTCTCAACCTGTGGGTCGGGACCCCATTTGGGGTCGATCGACCATTTCATGGGGGTCGCCAAGCAAGGCTGTCCGCCATTTTTTTTGTCCGCCATTTTTTTGTCCGCCATTTTTTCCCCCTTTTCCGGCGGGTGCCTTACCTCCCTTGGGCTGGGCCAGCTGGTGGTCGGCCTGCTCCGTCTCTGCCGNCGGCGCAGGGGGCGGAACCATGCATGCGCGGGGCTCCCGGGCAGGGAAAGTCCTCGACTTACGACCGGTTGGGTAGTCCTCGACTTACGACCGGTTTAGTCCTCGACTTACGACCGGTTTAGTCCTCGACTTACGACCGGTTTAGTCCTCAGCTTACGACCGGTTGGGGTCGCGGCATTAAAAAGGTTGAGAACCACTGGTGTAGAGTTTCCTGCCTGAGCAGAGGGTTGGACTAGAAGACCTCCAAGGTCCCTTCCAACTCTGTTATTCTGTTAGATATTAAAATAACTTCCAGATGTGTGGCCTTCAATTCCCTGCATTGTCAAAAATCCATGATGGAATTCTAGCCATCTGAAGTCCCCTGGAGATGAAGGAAGAGTTCCCAGAAATGCAAATACATTGTAAACTTTTCAGCTGTCCGAGTACAAAGAATCCTCCGTGCGGATTTTTATATTTTCGCCTCACTACTCCAGAGAGATAGACTTGTGCAAAAAGAAAAAAAACACCCCGCAGCGAAAATTGCGGTGAGTGATATCCTCTGAAAGATTTACCGTAATATACAGCTCCAGTTCTCAAAGATGCAATCCTCTTCAAGTGGATGTTGTTGTTAGTTGCAAAGTCATGTCCGACCCATCGCGACCCCATGGACAACGTTCCTCCAGGCCTTCCTATCCTCTACCATATTCTGGAGTCCATTTAAGCTCATGCCTATTGCTTCAGTGACTCCATCCAGCCACCTCATTCTCTGTCGTCCCCTTCTTCTATTGCCCTCCATCTTTCCCAGCATTAGGCCCTTCTCCAGTGAGTCCTTCCTTCTCATTAGGTGGCCAAAGGACTTGAGTTTCAACTTCAGGATCTGGCCTTCTAAAGAGCAGTCGGGATTGATCTCCTCTAGGACTGACCGGTTGGATTGCCTTGCAGTCCAGAGGACTCGCAGGAGTCTTCTCCAGCACCAGAGTTCAAGGGCCTCCATTCTTTGGCGCTCAGCCTTTCTTATGGTCCAACTTCCACAGCCATACATGGCAACTGGGAAAACCATGGCCTTGACTATACACACTTTTGTTGGCAGGGTGATGTCTCTGCTTTTTAGTATGCTGTCTAGATTTGCCATAGCTTTCCTCCCCAGGAGCAAGCGACTTTTAATTTCTTGGCTGCAGTCCCCATCTGCGGTGATCTTGGAGCCCAGGAAGATAAAATCTGTCACTGCCTCCATTTCTTCCCCATCTATTTGCCAGGAATTGAGAGGGCCGGATGCCATGATCTTGGTTTTCTTAATGATGAGTTTCAACTTCAAGTGGTACCAAGTACTAAACTTCTTACAGAACAATTTGTTACCGTTCAGCTTTTTTCTATCACATTAAAGTTCAAAGGACTTTAATTATTGGGATGTTGTGGTAGAGGAGCTGTGGGCAAAGATGCTTCTTTGTCTCGTTTTAGGCCTGAAGCTAAATGCTTGGTGACTACTTATCTTAGGTTTCTCTTTGCTGAGATCTTTAATCCTGCAGTTGCACGGAGAACACGAATTTATAGCAGGCTTGGTAATTTAGGACCGAGCATAAGGTATAAATCAAAAGTTTGGAATACCTTTCATTTAGAGTGTGGCAAATGTATTCCCTCTTTGAAGCATTAGGTCCGAGTAGAGAGACCATAAGTGGACCTACTTAGACCTCATCTTGATGTGATTTGTGGAACCCTCCCCAGGAAATAATTAAAGAGCAAGGTTCCCCACCCCCATTTTACAAGTTTTATGGGCCTTATTCTATTGTCCAGAAGCCATAAGCAGCACTGGAAAGAGTGAGCCAGTTTGCCTTTTATCTGGACCACATCTACAATGATGATGTTACCTAGATGGATAATGAAATGTCTGCAAGAAAACCACCAAGCTCAGAGAGCACCAAGGACCCCACAGTTATTGGCATCTTCTTCCTTCTCCTCTTCCTCACCTTCACCACCACTACCTCTTCCTCCTCTTCCTCCATTCTACAAATCCAATTCCCATCTATCACTGATGACATTATCTAGTTGGGTCATGAAATGTCTACAAGAAAATCACCAAGCTCAGAGAGCACTAAGAGCCCCCACATTCCTCCCCTCCTCTTCCTCTCCCTTCTATTACTAATGTTGTTCCCTAGTTGGGTCATGAAATGTCTGCAAGAAAACAACCAAGCTCAGAGAGCACCAAGGACCCCACAGTCGTCGTCGTCATCCTCCTCCTCCTCCTCCCCTCCCTTCTATTACTGATGATGTTCCCTAGTTGGGTCATGAAATGTCTGCAAGAAAACAACCGAGCTCAGAGAGCACCAAGGACCACCATAGTCCTCCTCCTCCTCCTCCTCCTCCTCCTCTCCCTTCTATTACTGATGATGTTTCCTAGTTCGGTCATGAAATGTCTGCAAGAAAACAACCAAGCTCAGAGAGCACCAAGGACCCTACAGTCCTCCTCCTCCTCCTCCTCTTCCTCCTCCTCCTCCTCCTCCTCCTCCTCTCCCTTCTATTACTGATGATGTTCCCTAGTTGGGTCATGAAACGTCTGCAAGAAAACAACCAAGCTCAGAGAGCACCAAGGACCCCACCGTTCAACCCCGGGCTACAAATACCCTCCTCTGTCGATTTATCACCGTCTTTTCTCTTGACCAAATGGGACCACGTTTTTTATTATAGTTACTTCAAATCTGTAACCGTTTTGTAGATGGTTTGTTAAACATACCAGGAGAATACTTGAGCAGGTTTTTGGGTTGGGGTGCTGGTTGCAGAGAAATCCTGCTCTTTTAACTAGTGAAAAAAAAAGGAATTACTTCGTTTAGGATAAAAATACATCATTACTGAAAGCACTCAGCTAGTTGGGCTGGTTTTGCTCCTTCATTTTTATTTTTTTTTAAATCAGATTTTATTTAAACTGTCAAAAAGAAGGAGGATATCAAACGAGCCTTAAAGTTGGAGAAACTTTTTTTTCACAAAGCAATTTGCATCCTTAAGGCTCTCTCGACTGCAAATCTTGATCTAAACGGCTTTGGTTAAAAGCACAGGGATCTCCCAGCTGGCTTGCTATGTGCCTTTGAGCATATATGTCTTACAACATGCCAAGTTGCCATGGGAGCACCCTGGCACTCCAACAGGTTTTTATCTTTGGTTAAAAGAGGCTGCTTTCAAGCATTTGTGCATGTTTTTGCAATTATCGGTTCTTGAAACTGGAAGCAAAGGGAGAGATGTTTTAACAAAAGTCTCAACAAACACTCTTCAGATGCGTTTCTGCAATGCTTGGCTGGAGAAACAAATACAGGGAAATCAATTATGGAGTTTGCTCCTGAGAAGGGTGAGCTGGAGGGTAAAACATATAAAGAACAGTTGCAGGAACTGGGTATGCCTAGTTTAATGAAAAGAAGGACTAAGGATGACATGACAGCAGTCTTCCAATATCCGAGGGGCTGCCACAAAGAAGAGGGAGTCAAGCTATTCTCCAAAGCACCCAAAGGCAGGACAAGAAGCAACGGATGGACACTAATTGAGAGAAGCAACCTAGAACCAAGGAGAAATTTCCTGACAGTAAGAACAATTAATCAATGGATGGCTTCATCGTGGTGCTCCATCATGGGAGATTTTTAAGAAAAGATAGGATAGGATAGGATAGGATAGGATAGGAATGTTGAATAGAATAGAATAGGAATGTTGAATAGAATAGAATAGAATAGAATAGAATAGAATAGAATAGAATAGAATAGAATAGAATAGAATAGAATAGAATAGAACTGGAAGGGACTTCCAGGAGGTCTTCTAGTCTAGCCCCCTGCTCAAGCAGGAGAACCTATACCGTCTCAGACAGGTGAATGTCTAGTCTCTAGATGATTCTAACTACTCATAGTACAGATACGACCACGTCCGTACGACCACAACGGAGCTCCAAAATTGCAGTGGAGTGGAATGGAATGGAGTGGAGTGGAGCGGAACAGAACAGAATAGAAGTAGAGTGGAGTGGAGTGGAGTGGAGTGGAATGGAATAGAATAGAATAGAATAGAATAGAATAGAATAGAATAACAGAGTTGGAAGGGACTTTGGAGGTCATCTAGTCCTACCCCCTGCTCAGGCAGGAGTCCCTATAACATTTCGGACAAATGGCTGTCCAGTCTCTTCTTAAAAACATCCAGCATCGGAGCATTCACAGCTTCTGGAGGCAGGTTGTTCCACTGGTTAATTGTTCTCACTGTCAGGAAGTTTCTCCTTAGTTCTAGGTTGCTTCTCTCCTTGATTAGTTTCCACCCATTGCTTCTTGTCCTGCCTTCAGGCACTTTGGAGAATAGCTTGACTCCCTCTTCTTTGGGGCAGCCCCAGAGATACTGGATCACTGCTATCCTGTCCCCCCTCGCCCTTCTCTTCATTAAACTAGACATACCCAATTCCAGCAACCGTTTCTTGTATGTTTTAGCCTCCAGTCCCTTGATCATCTTTGTTGCTCTTCTCTGCACTCTTTCTAGAGTCTCAACATCTTTTTTACATCGTGGTGACCAAAACTGGTCAAATAAACCTCTGCTCTAGGAAAACCCAAATAATTCTAGATCTTAGCTTATCTTAGGGACAAAAGGAGAGTCTTCTCCATGGGGGGGAGGGAAATCCCCCTTACTTTGCTATAATAAAGTGAACACTTTTTAATTTGCACCCAGAAAACTCAAAGGGATGGCTTTGATAAACCCCAGCCCGCAAATGAGATTTCCCTTAACCTATTCTGCAAAGATTAAGAGCATAATTACATTACGCTTACCTTGCTAAGTAATTTAATAGTCACCTCTGCTCTCCCGGTGTAATGTGTGCAGAGATGAATTGAGAGGGGGAAACGGGATTTTTTATACTCGCTGGATTCAGCTAGCGTGAAAACTCCAAAAGCTTCAGTTCTGACTCGCTGATTTCATTCAAGGTGCGTTAAAGGTTCTCCAGGCATCATCCCACAAAGGAGATGAAACAATCCCATGACAACAACACAAATAAAACAGCCGATAAAGCAGTGTTTTTATTGGTTGGAAAGATCGTTATGGAATACACATATTCCACAATAGAGAGTTCAGTTTGATTAAGCCGGAGAATCTTTGAGCGGAAGATGGTTTTTAAGCAGCAGGCAAGAGATTAAAGGGAAGCAATTCAGAAATCCATCCATCAACTTAGCCGTGCTTGGAAATGAAAGAGTCGTTGCTGCTGCTAAAATCTGATAGCAAATCCCATCCTGGGCTTCAACATCTGATTATTAATTGAACTAAGCCAACCATTTAATAGGTCCGAAACAAACATTATATCAAGAAGGCTGTGTTTACTTCATAAACCGATACTCAATTTTGCCATTTCTGATTCACAGTAATTCCTACGGGACTCTCTAAGCTGGCTGAAAACAGCCTGGACCACAAATAGCTTAGGCTACGATGCAAAATTGCCCTTAATCCCCCAATTACATCTCGTTGGACAATATCCACAGAAAAGATCTACTTTTCACTTGCAGAGGCTAAGCGGATTTAAAAATCCATTTATCACTTTTTAGAGGAGCAGATGGGAGCTGGGGCAAGCTTAACTAACAGAATAAAAGAGTTGGAAGGGACCTCAGAGGTCTTCTAGTCCAACCCCCTGCTCAAGCAGGAAACCCTATCATTTCAGACAAATGGCTGTCCAGTCTCTTCTTAAAAACCTCCAGTGATGGAGCACACATAACTTCTGAAGGCAATTTGTTCCACTGATTATTGTTCTAACTGTCAGGAAATTTCTCCTTAGTTCTAGGTTGCTTCTCTCCTTGATTAGTTTCCATCCGTTGCTTCTTGTCCTGCCTTCAGTTGCTTTGGAAAATAGCTNGAAAACAACCAAGCTCAGAGAGCACCAAGGACCCTACAGTCCTCCTCCTCCTCCTCCTCTTCCTCCTCCTCCTCCTCCTCCTCCTCCTCTCCCTTCTATTACTGATGATGTTCCCTAGTTGGGTCATAAAATGTCTGCAAGAAAACAACCAAGCTCAGAGAGCACCAAGGACCCCACCGTTCAACGCCGAGCTACAAATTTCCTCCTCTATCATTGTCTTTTCTCTTGACCAAATGGGACCAAGTTTTTTATTATAGTTACCGGTACTTCAATTCTGTAACCGTTTTGCAGATGGTTTGTTAAATATACCGGGAGAATACTTGAGCAGGTTTTGGGTTGGGATGCTGGTTGCAGTGAAATCCTGCTCTTTTAACTAGTGAAAAAAAAGGAATTACTTCGTTTAGGATAAAAATACATCGTTATTGAAAGCACTCAGCTAGTTGGGCTAGTTTTGTTCCTTCTTCATTTTTTTTAAAATCAGATTTTATTTAAACTGTCAAAAAGAAGGAGGATATCAAACAAGCTTTAAAGTTGGTGGAACTTTTTTTTCACAAAGCAATTTGCATCCTTAAGGCTCTCTCGGCTGAAATCTTGATCTAAACTGCTTTGGTTAAAATCACAGGGATCTCCCAGCTGGCTTGCTATGTGCCTTCGAGCATATATGTCTTACAACATGCCAAGTTGCCATGGGAGCACCCTGGCACTCCAACGGGTTTTTATCTTTGGTTAAAAGAGGCTGCTTTCAAGCATTTGTGCATGTTTTTGCAATTATCGGTTCTTGAAACTGGAAGCAAAGGGAGAGATGTTTTAACAAAAGTCTCTACAAGCACTCTTCAGATGCGTTTCTGCAATGCTTGGCTGGAGAAACAAATACAGGGAAATCAATTATGGAGTTTGCTCCTGAGAAGGGTGAGCTGGAGGGTAAAACATATAAAGAACAGTTGCAGGAACTGGGTATGCCTAGTTTAATGAAAAGAAGGACTAAGGATGACATGACAGCAGTCTTCCAATATCTGAGGGGCTGCCACAAAGAAGAGGCAGTCAAGCTATTTTCCAAAGCAACTGAAGCAGGACAAGAAGCAACGGATGGAGACTAATTGAGAGAAGCAACCTAGAACCAAGGAGAAATTTCCTGATAGTGAGAACAATTAATCAATGGATGGCTTCATCGTGGTGCTCCATCATGGGAGATTTTTAAGAAAAGATAGAATAGAATAGAATAGAATAGAATAGAATAGAATAGAATAGAATAGAATAGAATAGAATAGAATAGAAATGTTGAATCGAATCGAATCGAATCGAATCGAATAGAATAGAATAGAATAGAAATGTTGAATCGAATAGAATCGAATAGAATAGAATAGAATAGAATAGAATAGGAATGTTGAATAGAATAGAATAGAATAGAATAGAATAGAATAGAATAGAATAGAATAGAATAGAATAGAACTGGAAGGGACTTTGGAGGTCTTCTAATCTAGCCCCCTGCTCAAGCAGGAGAACCTACTGTCTCAGACAGGTGAATGTCTAGTCTCTGGATGATTCTAACTACTCATAGTACAGATACGACCACATCCTTACGACTACAACGGAGCCCCAAAATTGGAGTGGACTGGAATGGAATGGAGTGGAGTGGAGTGGAGCGGAAAAGAACGGAACGGAACGGAACGGAAAAGAACAGAACAAAAAGAACAGAACAGAACAGAACAGAATAGAAGTAGAGTGGAGTGGAATGGAGTGGAGTGGAATGGAATGGAATGGAATGGAATGGAATAGAATAGAATAGAATAGAATAGAATAGAATAGCAGAGTTGGAAGGGACTTTGGAGGTCATCTAGTCCTACCCCCTGCTCAGGCAGGAGTCCCTATAACATTTCGGACAAATGGCTGTCCAGTCTCTTCTTAAAAACATCCAGCGTCGGAGCATTCACAGCTTCTGGAGGCAGGTTGTTCCACTGGTTAATTGTTCTCACTGTCAGGAAGTTTCTCCTTAGTTCCAGGTTGCTTCTCTCCTTGATTAGTTTCCATCCGTTGCTTCTTGTCCTGCCTTCAGGCGCTTTGGAGAATAGCTTGACTCCCTCTTCTTTATGGCAGCCCCTGAGATACTGGAACACTGCTATCCTGTCCCCCCTTGTCCTTCTCTTCATTAAACTAGACATCCCCAATTCCAGCAACCATTCCTTGTAAGTTTTAGCCTCCAGTCCCCTAATCATCTTTGTTGCTCTTCTCTGTACTCTTTCTAGAGTCTCAGCATCTTTTTTACATCGTGGTGACCAAAACTGGTCAAATAAACCTCTGCTCTAGGAAAACCCAAATAATTCTAGATCTTAGCTTAGCTTAGGGACAAAAGGAGAGTCTTTTCCATGGGGGGGGAGGGAAATCCCCCTTACTTTGCTATAATAAAGTGAACACTTTTTAATTTGCACCCAGCAAACTCA